CGAAAACACAGTTGAACCTTTGGCAAGAACAGCTTCCTTGATTGCTGTTTTCTTGGACACAATAGTAGCAATGGTTGATTGGGGTTTACTATACAACCTGGCCAGCTCGGAGACACGCACTCCACTTTCATACTTAGCAATGATCTCTTTCTTCATCTCTGTAGTAATTCTCACCCTTATTCCTGTAGGGTTGGCACTAGAATCTTTCTTGGGGCCCATGGTCACTTATTTTGCAGATAAAATCACCAAAAACACTGTAATAATACGAAATGTTCCGATTGTATGCTTGGATGTTACCGTGGAGGCTGGCTGGTAAACAATGCCACCGGCAGAACATGTGAGGCTGGCTCAGGCCGCACATTAGACGCGTCTTGGACGAACAGCGTTGAGCGGGTTTTTTAGCGGTATGCGAGGCAAAATCTTAGCGATAAAATGTATGGGTATGTGGATTTAACGTTATGTGTATGCCAATGGTATGCGGGGGTCCACTGTACAGTATATACGTTTGGGACCACTTAGTACCTTGTGGGAACACCAGTTAAAATGAGCACCAGCTAGAGCAAACAGCATGGCAAACACCTAGGATTCACTGATGTCATGTCATATTAACACTTCCCTTTTAAGAGGAAAGTGATGTTGACCCCAAGTTTAGTGGTTTTGAGATGGATATGGCCACAAGTGGTCGAGGAAATATCAAAAACCTCGATAATAACCCATGTGCAACATTTGCCCAACACCCTTTCAGAATGTCTTATAACCTATACCCTAGGTAAAGAGAAACAATTCTGTAATGTGTAGTAAATGTTAGACAGGCTGACTGGCTGGCCAACTAGCTGGCCGGCTGCTGGCCAGCTGGCTCTATCTCTGTCTGTCTGTCTTTCCGTCTGCATCTATGTCTCTATCTCTGTGTCTATCTGTCTCTGTCTCTGTCTCTATCTCTTTCTATCTCTGTCTCACAGGTACACATAAATACAGTTGTACATAGTGTAAATTACCTAGGATAACCTAAAAACTCCAAAGTGCTATACTGTGCTTGTAGATATAATGCGTAAGAATACTTGTTGGTTCACAGTGGCTCTCTCTGAGACAGAGAGACAAGCAGAGAGACAGAAAGAGAGACAAGCAGACAGAGAGATAAGACTGAGAGACAGATAAGCAGAGACAGAGATGCCAACACTCATCAAATGTTACCCCTTATCTCATCACTGCACCCTCGCTGGCACTCATCAAATGTCGCCCCTTATCTTATCACGACACCCTTGCCGATGCTCATCATATGTCACCACTGATCTTATCACTGTACCTCGCTGACGCTTGTCGTGCTTAAAGGGAACTTATTATTATTATTATTATTATTATTATTATTATTATTATTATTATTATTATACACTCCTGTGTATCCAAAACACTGCTGGGACTTACAAATACTTTGTATATATTCCTAGATAATAGTAAATGACCAAGGCAGGTGTAAATGTCCACCTGTCAATGTGTTTGTGACAATTTGAGTACAATTTCAGTACCCATATATTAGTGTCAGAACAAAGATTGGGTATGAAATGACAAGAACTACTATAAATTGTAATTATCAGAACATAAAAATTATATAAATATAAAAATGAGAAAAAAAGGTATATTGGCAACACTTCTGCAAGAGGCAGGACTCGATGCTGCCCTCAGGTGAGCATTAAGTGCCAACTTCGCAGCCTCATATCTCAGTAAGCATTGACCCTAATTTTTTTTAATCCTATAATGCTTGGAAAAATGTTCCCTATTTCCAGAAAAAAAAACTTTTTATTTTTCAAAATATTTGGGGCACTGGGCGAGACAACGTATATATACTTTTGGACCGTTTAGGGGTTAAAACAGCGACTTTATAGTGTTCTTTTGTATGTTTTTTACAGTTGTATTTGCAATTTCTTTGTCTCATTTGATAGAATGGAAGATATATTACAGAAATAGAGATGATTTTGATTGGTTTTAGTACTGAAAATGGCTTGAAACTGAGCTCAAAATAGCAGAAATGTTCAATTTTTGCCAATGTTCAAGAGTGAACAAATGACATCACATGTCTAATACACGTCAGCTGGTGGGTCTAATGTACGTTCATGAATGTGTTTATATTATTTATACAATTATTACAATATTGCTTAACAGTAAATCTTCTATTTTTTGGTGTGAATAAAAATTCATTGTGAATAAAAAATCAAAATGGAATTCATTTGTAAAGCCTGAAAATGTAACTAATAAACAGAGGAAATGTTAGTTTAGTGCCAGGAATGCCTGCATTGTTTATTCTGGACCTTATTTTGAAATTGGAGTATTCTGAACTTTGTGTTAAATTGGCCAAATTACCAAATTTCAATCACTTTATTGGGTAGTTGAAACAGTTGACTGGGCGATTTCTTGTGCTCAATCTATAAAATAGAAGTAATACTAGTGAAATAGTTAAGAAATGGGAGTCAAAGTTGGCAAAATCACCGATGCGTAAATATCGCCGAAGCAGCAAAATTCACGAGTATAATTTTCTTTAGTTTTCCATCAAATTTCATACTTTTTGTTTTATTACCTTCAGAAAATTATTTTCTACCATTTCATAATAAAAAATAATTTTTTTTTTTTTTTAAATTCTTGGACCCTGGCTGTCACTCTGAGATTTGGCCTCTGAACCCTCAAAGAGTTAAGCTATACAGGAAAAGGGGTTACTAGCCCATTGCTCCTGGCATTTTAGTTGACTTTTACAACACACATTATCATTTAAAAAATTATTCATTTCTTGTATTAGGACAAAAGAATGTGGTGTCAGGTTTTTAACTAGGTTTAGGATATTACTTAAATTATGATAATACCTGTATTTTAAAAATTTTTAAATGTTTTTAACTATACAGCAATGTACACTGTATCCAGTATTTAAGAAAAATAAGTACCTTATGGCCTCTTCCTAGTATAGGAGTAATTCTGAAGCTCATTTGAGCACTTTTTTTTCATGAAGAAATGAGACTTTGAATGTAACCATGTGATACATGACATGGTGAGAAATTATGAATTATTGTACAAGAAGGAACTTCATCACTTGATTTCATTTTATTATGATTGAGTATTAACACAACTATGTTGAGAAATTGTACTCAATCCACCACATACACTAGGTCAAAATGGTTACAGAATGTTAATAATTACTGAGTAGATGAATAAATGTTTGTCTGGCAGGTAGATAATGAAATATCAACACGGTGATATACACAAATGTAACTACTGTATATAGAATCTTTAACCCTTTGAGGGTTTTGGTCGTACTAGTACGTCTTACGCGTAGGGTTTTTTGACGTACTAGTACTCATAAATTCTAGCGGCCTCAAATCTAGTGGGAGAAACTGGTAGGCCTTCATATGAAAGAATGGGTCTATGTGGTCAGTGTGCACAGTCTAAAAAAAATCCTGCAGCACACAGTGCATAATGAAAAAAAAAAAACTTTGACCATTTTTTTTAATAAATCAGCGACTTTGCAATGTATTTTCGTATGGTATTTATTGTTGTATTCTAGTTTTCTTGGTCTCATTTTATAGAATGGAAGACATATTACAGAAATTGAGATGATTTTGACTGGTTTTACAATGAAAGGTGCCTTGAAATTGAGCTCAAAATAGCAGAAAGTTCGATTTTACCAAACTCAAGTAAACAATCGTGCAAGCGTGCAATACACGTCAACTGGTGAGTCTAATATTCTTTCACAAGTGCACCAATAATATTTATACCATTTTTTACACTAATGCAGTAGTCTGCATAACACAAATCTTATATTTTTTGTGAAAATAAAAATTCAAAGTGAAAGCAAAAGAATATAAAGGGGCCTTGAGACGTGACTAATGACTAGAGGAAATGTCATTTTAGTGCCAGGAATGTCTTTCTTGTTTATTCTGGACCCTATTCGGAAATTGGCATCTTTTGAAATTTGTGTGAAATTGGCAAAATTGCTAAATTCTGACCACTGTACTGGATAGTTTGAATTCATAAATGGGTGGTTTCTTGCACCCATTCGATAGAAAAAATGGAGTTCTAGCGAAATATTCATGTTTTTTGTCGACTAGTACAGTGAAATTGGCCGAAAATGGGGCTCAAAGTGGGCAAAATCGCCGATGCGTAAACATCGCCAAGACCGCTAACTTTGCAAGAGCATAATTCCGTAAGTTTTCTGTCAAATTTCAAACTTTTGGTGTCTTTATGATCGGGAAAAGATTCTCTATCTTTTCATAAGAGAAAATAATTTTTTTTTTTTTAAATTTGGCCGACCCTGAGAACGAGTTTCGGAGAGGGCTGTCGACCCTCAAAGGGTTAATGATGATGTTTTGCCCACTCAGTGGACTTTATCAAGTAACAAACAAGTTTGTTACCTGATAAGACCCACTGCACGAGTAAAACTGATGGAATCAACAAAGGCTTCATGTAGCTGCATTAGTGTGTTTATCATGATGTTATGCTCACATAAAATCAAACAGTTTGGATTTGAGGCTTCACCTACGATATGAATTATTTAATTTTGTATATTCACTTTCACAGAGATGACTTTTATTTTTTTTAACATGCTGGCTGGCCCCACCGAGGCAGGGTCACCTGAAGAAGATACATTTTCACCATCATTCACAATATCACTGTCTTGCCAGAGGTGCACAGATATGACAGTTCAGATATCCGTCCAAACAGCAAATACCCCAAGCTTCTCCTTTAAAGTGCAGGCACTGTACTTCAAACCTCTAGGACTCAAATCTGGCTAAACCAATTTCCCTGGATTCCTTCACACAATATAACATTGCTCAAACCCCAACAGCTCATCAGATCCAAAAACCATTTGTCTCTACTCCTATCTAACACACATGCCTGCTGCATGTCCAAGTCTCTTGTACACAAATATATACATTATTTATTACCATGTGCAAATTACAAACCCACTGACCTATGTATTCAAATACTATACTATGGTAACTATCATCAAACTTCCACAGACACTGGTGGTTTTATGAAGGACGATGGGGCAATCCAAGCATCAAGTGCCATATACTCATGGCTGGCTTCTGTGAACATGTCAATGGACCCACTGGGATAATACGCAAACGAGTTAACTTCCCATGCAATAGAACTAATAATAGAAATTCATAGATATGGCCTAAGAATGTAAGCTGTTGAATAAATCTCAAATAATACATGAACCTTCATTGTGTGTTAGGTGTAAGGAATCTTATAAATAAGTCTATTATTTTTTAACCCTTTGACTGTTTTGGTTGTATATAAACATCTTACGAGCCAGTGTTTTTCACGTACAGTGGACCCCAGGTATTCGATATTAATCCGTTCCTGAGAGCTCATCGAATACCGATAATATCGAGAACCGAATCAATTTTCCTCATAAGAAATAATGGAAATCAAATTAATCCGTGCAAGACACCCAAAAGTATGAAAAAAAAATTTTACTACGTGAAATATTAAGTTTAATGCAATAGAATAATTACAACAACAATAAAATAACTGACACTTACCTTTAATGAAGATCTGGTGATGATTGATGGGATGGGAGGAGGGGAGAGGTGTTAGTGTTTAGAAGGGGAATCCCTTTCCATTAGGACTTGAGGTAGCAAGTCCTTTTCCGGGGTTACTTCCCTTCTTCTTTTAATGCCACTAGGACCAGCTTGAGAGTCACTGGACCTCTGTCGCACAACAAATCTGTCCATAGAGTTCTGTACCTCCCGTTCCTTTACGATTTGTCTAAAATGGGCCACAACATTGTCATTGTAATAGTCACCAGCAAGGCTTGCAATAGCTGTGTTAGGGTGATTTTAATCCATAAAGGTTTGCACTTCAACCCACTGTGCACACATTTCCTTAATTTTTGAAGTAGGCACAATGGAGTCCACAACTGGCATAGGCTTCTTAGGGTTAGCCCCAAACCCTTCAAAATCTTTCTTAATTTCCATACTAATTCTCACCCTTTTTACCACAGGGTTGGCACTAGATACTTTCTTGGGGCCCATGGTGACTTATTTTGCAGAAACAAGCACCAAACACAGTGATAATATGGAATGTACCGAATGTATCCTTAGATGCGAGCACACTGGCTGGCTTGTAAACACTGGCACACACGGGGCAGTTCAGGCCACACGTGGACAGGTCTCGTACGAATCGTATCGAATACCGGGTTTTCAATCGAATACGAGGAAATTTTTTTGCGATATAATGCATTGAATACCGGATTTATCGAATACCGATGCCATCGAATACCGGGGGTCCACTGTACATGTATTTATACTCTAAAATTCTAACGGTTTCAAATAAAGCGGGAGAAAGCTGGTAGGCCCACATGTGAGAGAATGGGTCTGTGTGGTTAGCGTGTGCAATATAAAAAAAAATCCTGCAGCACGCAGTGCATAATGAGAAAAAAACCTCCGACCGTGTTTTTGGATTAAAACGCCAACTTGGAGGTATATTTTCGTATAGTATTTATGATTGTATTCTCGTTTTCTTGGACTCATTTGATAGAATTAAAGACATTTTACAGAAATAGACATGATTTTGATTGATTTCACGATGAAAAGGACCTTGAAATTGAGCTCAAGGTAAAGGAAATGTTCGATTTTTGCCGATATTCAAGAGTAAACAAATGGCGTCATTGTCCAATAAGTGTCCAATTAGCCATTCTAATGTGCAGTCATGAATGGGTTGACATTATTTATACAATTATTACAATAATGCAGTAGTCTGCATAAAAGAAAATCTTCTATTTTTTGTGTGAATAAAAATTCAAAATAGAAAGCAAGAGTAATATAAGAGGGGCCTGGAGGCATGATTGATGAACAGAGAAAATGTTATTGTAGTGCCAGGAATATCTGCAGTGTTCATTCTGGACCCTATTTTGAAATTGGCATCTACATGTGACCCCCGGTTAACGATTTTAATCCGTGCAAGAGGGTAAATTGTTATGCAAATAATCGTAATGGGATTTTTTATGAATTTTCCCCATAAGAAATAATGGAAATAAGAATGTAATCCGTGCAAGACACCAAAAGTTGAAAAACAAAATGTAAACCACATGAAATATAACATTTTCCCACACCAATGAGAGAAGATACATGCACAATAGTAGAGTAGTACATCACAGTTTTTGTGACATGTAACATAATTCTACTAATGAAGAATAAATGACATTTACTTTAATTGAAGATGCAGCAATGAACTGATGAGACACTGTGCCGGGAGTGCCATTTCCTCCTGAGTACCTGTAGGTCCTGTTTGGCATTTTCTTCCAGAACAGGCCTTATCACACTGTGATGCCACTACGATTCTAAATCTCTCAAACCAACCTTTGCTGCTTTAAATTCACCAATATGAGCACTAGTTCCAGGCATTTTCCTGTTCACCGGGTGTTAGTCGACTTGTGTGGGTTGCATCCTGGGAGATAAGATTAAGGACCCCAATGGAAATAAGTTAGACAGTCTTCGATGACACTGACTTTTTGGTTATCCTGGTGGCAAATCCTCTGGGGTTAATTGTTTCTTGGTATTCTCATAAGCCACACCAACAACGGTGCTACAGCAGCAGCAGCAGCTGACAGTGCAGCCAGCAGCAGCAGCTGACAGTGCAGCACATGCAGCAGCTGTACCACCAATAGTAGCGATGGTTGATGGGTTTATTATTACAACCTGGCCAGCTCGGAGACATGCACTCCACTTTCATACTTATCAATGATCTTTTTCTTCATCTCTATTGTTAATTCTCACCCTTATGCTGTAGGGTTGGCACTAGAAGCTTTCTTGGGGCCCATGGTCACTTATTTTCCAGAAAAAGCACCGAAAACACTGTAATAATACGAAATATCCGATTGTATGCTTGGATGTTACCGCGGAGGCTGGCTGGTAAACAATGCCACCGGCGAACATGTGAGCGCGTCTCGGAAGAAAATCGGTAAGCGGGTTTTTAAGGGTATGGAGCAAAATTTTTGCAATAAAGTAAGCGGTATGCGAAATAATCGCTATGTGATGCCATCGTTATGCGGGGGTCCACTGTATTTCAATTTGCCGAAATTGGCCTAACTGTCAATTTCTGACCACTTTATTGGGGAGCTAAAATTGGTAAATGGGCGGTTTCTTTTACTCAGTCCCATAGAAAAAATGAAGTTCTGAAAAATACTATGAGTTTGGTCATCTGGAACAATGGAATTGGCTGAAAATAGGGCTCAAAATGGGTGAAATCACCGATGCGTAAAACATCGCCGAGATCGCTAACTTCGCGAGAGCAAAAATTCCATAATTTTCGATCAGATTTTTAACTTTGGTGACATTAACATTGGAAAAAGATTCTCTATTATTTCATAAGAAAAAATCATGTTTTCTTTTTGAAAACTTTGCAACACAGAGAGACACTTTTAGGATTTGGGGTTGTGACAGTCAAAGGGTTAACATACCAGCCATATCCCACCAGGGCAAGGTGACCAAAAAAGAGCAAACGAAAGTGTTTCTTCTTTTTACATTTAGTAATTTATACAGGAAGGGGTTACCAGCCCCTTGCTCCTGCATTTTAGTTGCTTCAGGCAACATCTGAATCACTGATTTCACTAGTAGCATGTTCACCCTCTAGACAAAACTCACACACTATGTTCATAAGACATTATTCAACGTACTAAACATTTTAAGCATTTGTAATTCACCTCGTCTAAAATTTCTGAACAAACTTGCTGTACAAGTCATCAGTGAAGTAAATTAAAATGTGAAAACAATGGATCGTGAAAACAGTAGACTGTCATTAAGCATAGTGTTACGTTCCTGAAAACGCCATGTTAAGTAAAATCATGTTAGATGATACGTGAAGAACTTATGAGGAAAATAGGGTTACATTCTGGGGAACCCCCAAAAATACCAAACAACCATTTTTTGGGCCTCCATATCTTACATAAATAAAAGTGAATATGTAATTGTAGTTCATTGTTGTGATGTACTATTTTTTTACTTCTTAAGACTACCAATTTAACAGAAATAATAGTATTTCTTACCTAAATTGTGGGTGCTGGTATTTGTGGATGATTGTGAAGAGAGTGGGAGCTATGCTGTGGCGTACATGGCTGAGTGGATGTAGAGCTTCTGGTGCTGAAGTCGATGGTTGTACTTGAGTGTCTAACTTTAAGTCATTCAGTCAGTCAGTCAAGTCATTCAGTCAGTCAGTCAGTCAAGATATTCATAAGTCAGTCAAGTCATTTAGTACATCAGTCAAGTCATTCAGTAAGTCAGTCAAGTCACTCGGTAAGTCACGTCATTCAGTCAGTCAAGTCATTCAGTAAGTCAGTCAAGTCATTCAGTAAGTCAGTCAAGTCATTCAGTAAGTCAGTCAAGTCATTCAGTAAGTCAGCCAAGTCACTCAGTAAGTCAGTCAAGTCATTCAGTCAGTCATAACATTTAGTACATCAGTCAAGTCATTCAGTAAGTCAGTCAAGTCATTCAGTAAGTCAGTCAAGTCACTCAGTAAGTCAGTCAGGTCATTCATTAAGTTAGTCAAGTCACTCAGTAAGTCAGCCAAGTCACTCAGTAAGTCAGTCAAGTCATTCAGTCAGTCAAGTCATTTAGTACATCAGTCAAGTCATTCAGTAAGTCAGTCAAGTCACTCAGTAAGTCACGTCATTCAGTCAGTCAAGTCATTCAGTAAGTCAGTCAAGTCATTCAGTAAGTCAGTCAAGTCATTCAGTAAGTCAGTCAAGTCATTCAGTAAGTCAGTCAAGTCACTCAGTAAGTCAGTCAGGTCATTCATTAAGTTAGTCAAGTCACTCAGTAAGTCAGCCAAGTCACTCAGTAAGTCAGTGAAGTCATTCAGTCAGTCATGTGATTCAGTCAGTCAAGTCATTCAGTCAGTAAGTCAGTCATTCAGTCAGTCAGTCACACAAACTCATGTTTACCTCTTTTTCTGTGTACAAAGTAGCACTTCATTACAGCTACAAGTTATCTCTTGTCTAATATCTTTGTTTCTTTGTTAATTCTAAGACATAAATGCTTATACCTTTTCTTGCCACTTTCAGCAACACTGGTATGGCTGCTGGGTGTCATGATTGCTTGGCAGATACAAGATACAGTAATTAAAACATCATAACACAATTCACAAACACTGCTAGCTTGTAGCAGGGAAAGACTGGACACATGAAATACGAACGCTGGGATGGTGGGGGGATGTCAGGGAGCGGAAGGGGATGGCGGGAGGGCTCCCCGGCTGCTCCACAACAAGGCGGCCGCTTGAGCAAAAGAGAATATTTTTTCCTTCTCACAAACTGAACAATGTTAAATTAATTTTACGACGTGTTACATAAAATTGTGCCGCAATTCTTCAATTGCACAATACCCAAATCGTGCCAAATAAGCTTGTGCTAAATGGCGGTCTACTGTAAATGAAAACTGGGTTCAATATTTATAAAATACATTTTATATGTGCTATATTATGTTAATTTTTAATAACATATTTTTTGACAGGTCACTTAAAACTCAGCATGGTGCCTAAAACACCAATTCATATTATTATGTCAAAGTATGCAAGGGAAGTCTGAGGTCCACATTCTATTCAACTTCTCTGGGAGGAAATCTTGAATGCTCACAGTACCTGATATATGCCAGAGTACCACTTCACACATGTGGTTCAACTGTTATATTAACATTAACCTTCTTAATGTCATATATGAAAATACTTTTGTTTACTAGACATTATTTTCAAATCTTTAAACTGTACTAAAGAGAGTAGAAATTTAAGACACAATGGACAAAGAAACTGGCATTCAAATTCTTCAAAAATACAAAGAACAAATTAATAGAAAACCATAACTGTGCTGCAATAAAAAATACAACTGTTGTTTGTTTCTATATAAACCTTTCAACAAATGGCCAAAAGCAACAAACAAAACTGTGATTTATAAGTATGTACTTATGCACACTCTTCGTAACAAATCACTTCCTGTAAATAACAGCTTTATTAAAACTAATCTTTGTAACACTAATCATGGCACAGGTGAGGCTTGAACCCATGGCAAGTGAGTCTTAAAACTCACAGGTCAGTGTGTTAACCAGGGCCAGCTGCCTCTAATAAGATGTATCCAACTAAGTATATTTCTATACACCATAGGGAGGTTAGCATTATCAAACCCCAGCCACTCGCATAACAACAACCACCGCTGCTACTACCACTATAAAAATAATAATAATAAAACTACTAGTACTACTACTATTGCTAGTATTACTGCTACTACCACTACCATTTCCACTACCACCACCACCTCTCTGGTTTCTATACAAGTCTACTTTCTCATGTGTATATTTAATAGATAAAGCCTCTAAATAACAAAAAAAGGCACAATACCGTGACTGGAACGACACACAAATAACCCGCACATAAAAGAGAGAAGCTTACGACGATGTTTCGGTCCGACTTGGACCATTGACAAGTCACACTGACTTTGTCAATGGTCCAAGTCGGACCGAAATATCGTCGTAAGCTTCTCTCTTTTATGTGCGGGTTATTTGTGTATAAAGCCTCTGGTGGGTGAAATATCTCTTAACTATTACAATGAAGGCAAAACCCCTAAACTGAACGTCACTTCTGTCTCAACATCTCTGAACAACCAAAAAATTATTTTACCCTTTAAAATTGTAGAGAATCTTCTTCTAAAAGTGATGATGCAAAAAATGCAAAAATTTAATGTAATGCCTACAGAATTATGCAGAAATATTATTATTATTATTATTATTATTATAAAAAAGAAGCGTTAAACCACAAGTTATACAGCGCTGCAGGGCAGGAAGGAAGCGAGGGTATCAGGTGGCAAAGGGGAGAGGGATGATTAGTAGGTTATGGAGAACAGCGGGGCAGTGGATAGTGCAGGGGTAGAGGGTAGCAAGAGATTGAGGTAGAAAGGGCTGAGGGGAGTGCGAAAGGTATCATCATCAGAGTTTGTGGAGTAAATCAGATGTTGTCAAGAAGTCCATGAGAGAGTCAGGATTAAAGGAGGGTCAATCAGCAAGAAGGGAAGGTAAAGAGAGTGTAGTAAAGCGGAGACAATGTTGGAGGTAAATTCTGCGTGCTCGTTGATAGAGAGGGCAGTCTAACAGAATGTGGCTAATCGATATGGAACTTGACACTGCTCACAGAGAGGAACAGGGTGCCTCTCCATGAGATACCCATGAGTAAGACAAGTGTGGCCAATGTGAAGACGGGAAAGAGTAGTTTCCCAACTTCGACACTGATGACAAAAAGACGGCCAGTAACCTATACTCGGTTTAATAGAATGAAGTTTGTTACCGAGAATATTAGATCAACGCTGTTGCCAAAGGGTGTGGAGGTGGGTAGCTATTACAGCAAAATAGTCCAGAAATGGAACACCTCTATATGAAACTGGTAGGTCATGTACTGCTGACCGCGCAACAGTGTCTGCTTCTTCATTGCCCTGTACGTCAACATGACCAGGGACCCAACAAAACACTATATCTTTATGCTTGGTAGAGATACGGCATAGCCAAAGTTGGATACAAAGAACTAGGGGGTGAGGTGCATCAAATTTTTGTATAGCCTGTAAAGCACTAAGGGAGTCTGAGACAACCACAAATGATGACACAGGCATGGATGCAATACGGATAAGTGCTGTAAGAATGGCATACAATTCAGCTGTAAAAATGCTAGCCAAGGACAGTAAATGTCCTCGTATGACACTGTCCAGAAACACTGCTGCAAATCCGACGCCATCAGAAGACTTAGAGCCATCTGTGTACACTGCAATGGCATGAGAATGAGAGCGGAAGTGGTCAAGAAAAAGAGAGTGGGAAGCTACCGTAGGCAGTTGGGCTTTCGCGCAAGGGAGTGAGAAAGAACAGACTAACAGCTGGAACTTCCCAGGGGGGCAGGGAAAAGTGAGATGCTACATGAACATAGAAAGGTGGTAACTGAAGGGAAGACAAGAGCGAATGTAGGTGAAGATAAAAGGGACGGAGCAAACAGGGGCAGCAAACAAATAAAGAATGTCTACTAATATCGGTGACTATTCTATAAATGGAAGGATTGCAGAGATCATGAGAGCATACATAGTAGCGAAGGCAATGGGCATCACAGCGATCGGACAAGGATGGAACATTCACTTCTGCATAGAGGCTCTCAACAGGGGTAGAGCGAAAAACACCAAGGCATAAACGTAATCCTTGGTGATGGATGGGATTAAGGCCAGAGAGAGTAGCAGGAGAGGCCGCTGATTACATCCGGTCACCATAATCGAGTTTCGATAAAATGAGGGCTGAATGTAGGCGAAGGAGAGTTCGACGATCAGCTCCCCATGAAAGATGAGCAAGGGTTATTTTAAGAAGGTTCAGCAGGCTGTGACAAGTTGCCTTCAGAGAGGTAATGTGAAGTTTCCAGGATAACCTACGGTCAAAGAGAAGGCCTAGAAACCTGACTATCGCGTTCAGGGATATGTGAGCCATAGAGGTACAAAGGATGATCGGAGATGACAGAGCGTCTAGTGAAAGTAATTTGGTGAGTTTTGGTACTGGAAAACTTAAACCCATGCGTGGTGGCCCAATTGAAAACACGGTTGACCGCATGCTGGAGAGAAACTGTAATGAGGTGACAGTCAGCGCCTGCACAAGCAATAGCGAAGTCATCAACATAGAGTGATGACCAAGTATTGCATGGAAGACTAGAGGCCAAATCATTTATAGGAAGGAGAAAAAAGTGTTGTGCTCAGAACACATCCCTGGGAGACACCTTCAGCTTGGACAAAGTCTAGGTTTCTAGTTTAGTAATTATTAACCCCAACACCATGCCTGTCAGTTAAGTTTAAAAGATAGCTAGATGTAGCCTAAGGGTGGGCTGGGTCAAAATTTATACCTAGCAAGTTGAGGTAATGCCTTTCAAGGTAAACTCAAATTACAAAGGTAATGAACTCCAGTAGGTCTATCACAATCAGGACAAGTTACAAAGGTATTACAGATACAGAGGTACACAAGGGTCCAGGTGACGGGCTCCAAAGTTTGATGGCTGAACTAGGTACAAGGTAATGAACTCACAAGTGAAAATGTATTTAATCTCACAATACAAAGGTAATGAAATACTTTAAGAATGGGTTTCTTACGTTTATACATGCTGCAATCATGAACAAATTTTAGAGTAATGAGCAATTCACACTTCCACACCCGGTCACAACTGTAGTGAGTTATTGGTGCAAATGTTGATTGCTGAGATCTCTCTCTCACAACACACACATACAAATTCAACCACACAACACACACACACACATACACAAATCATACACACACATGCACACACACCATACACACCACACCTCAACTCCACACACACACACACACACACACACACCACAAAACACACACACTCATCATACACCAACACACACACACACACACCACACACACACACACACACACACACACACAACCACACACACACACACAACACCCCAAAACAACACACACACATGCACATATGTGGTAATGCTTTATTTACAGCTAGCAAAGTCAGGGATTTCTCCAAATGGTCTGTTAAATACCACTGGGATAAAATACTTAGCCATTTCTTGAACACTTCGAATGAGTTGTTTCAAATTCCATTAATTATGGGGCACCCAGTACAAATTTGACGCAGGGTGACAATAATCCATCTGGCAAAGTTTACTTTTTCGTTTGGTCTACACTGGTGGGATTTAACCTGCCAAAGATACTTGTAACCAGCCAGCCGGCGTAGTGACATCCAAGAGTCTCCCTTATTTGTTGGATGACCAAGACATGTGGCTCCCCTAATGATAGAATGATGAAATGGACTCACTGTGTCAATCTCCCTGAGCCTTAAGTCCATAAAATTCAGCTGAGCACATTATAACCCGAACACGGAAATGTGTGTCAGTTAAAAAGTTCTTAAGGAAGGATGGTAGATTGCCTCGGAGGCCTAAGGAGTGGGTTTGGGTCAAAATATTATACCTCCAAGTTGTGTCATGCCTTCTTAAGGTCAAAAAATATGGTAATAACTGAGTGGTTATTCACAAAGGCATTACGAACATACGTATCCAAGCGTAGTAAGGGGTCTATGGTAGAACGGCCCTTACGAAAGCCATATTGACTAGTGGAGAGACTGTTGTGTGTCTCTAAATACCATATTAAACGTCAATTTACCAGATGTTCCGTCACTTTGCAAACTGCACTGGTAAGAGCAATGGGACGATAGTCGGAGGCATCATGTCCCATAGTACCAGGTTTGCGAAAAGGGAGAACAATGGCAGATTTCCACAGCTGGGAAAGAACTCCTTGTGACCAAATAAGATTGAAGAGGTGTAAGAGGACTGCAAGGGTTGACTGATGTAAATGTTGTAACATCCGAATATGAATTTTCGTCAGGCCCAGCTGCCGATGATCGGCAACCTGAAGTTTAAAAGGCACATTATACGGTTCTTCTTTGAAAGAAGAAAAGTCCAAGGGTGCTAACTGTCAGGCAGACTTTGAGGAAAGAAATGAGGGGCATAGATGGATACATAGATACAACCAATTATAAAGAAAAGAATAATACTCCCCTTGGAAATGAAGAAGAATCCTTCCCCCAAGCCATGGTGTTTAAGAGGTGACTACCTGCTGGAGCAAGGGGCTAGTAATTCTTTTCCTGTATAATACTAAAATTTAAAAGGAGAAACTTAAGTTTTTCCTTTTGGGCCACCCCACCTCAGTGGGATACGGCTGGTACGTTGAAAAAAAAAAAAAAGATGGAGCCCCCGAGAAATACGGACCAGATGATTGCCAATTTCAATTTCAACATCAAGAGGGTTTGCTATATCAACACAGGCGATCCACAGAACAGGAGCCGGC